TCCAAGCCCCACCGTACCTTCTTCAGCGTGGCCACCACGTCTGTGTTCTTTTGGAGGATCTGAGAGGTCACCTGCAGGGTCCCCAGCTCCTCCAGTGCATTCAGACAGCGCTTCACATCCTACAGGCGGTGGAAGTGAGGGGGACAGCCTGGCCGAGACGTCCCAAGGCCCGGCAGAGCGGAGGATGCCCTGGGCAGGCTGAATCTGCAGGACCGGGCGCCTCCCCGCCTGGCTGAGGGGGGCTCTGGGAACACGTGGACACTTGAGGGGCTCGGGACCACCGTGGCACCATCTGCTGGGAAAGTCGAACGCCCCTCAGGGAGACCCCACTTGCGCATGAGACGGGAACAAGGACTCCCCCCATGCATGGGTCCCTGGATTTGCCCGTTTTCCAAGAATAAGGGAGCCCCAGCTAGAAGGTGGCGGGAAATGGCTGAGCTGTGACTCCTGAGGCTCCTAGGAGGGTCTTACCGGGTTGTCGACCTTCAAAGCGAACTTGATCTCACTGTGCAGCTTTTGAAGCTTCTCCTCCACAGAAGGTTCTGGGCCAGGGGAGACAGCACCGCTAGGCCTGAGCTGGGGGGAGGCCCAGGCCGCAGGAGGCCAACTGGGGCACGGTGGCCCGAGACCCCCCTGGAGGAGCCGACAGGCCCGTGTCTGCCCACCTGCTGGGTCCAACCCAGCCCCCACCCCCTGGGGTCCTGCCTCAGAAGACCATCTAAACCACAGCCTCCCTGTCAGCCCCGGCCACCCCAGGCTTTGAGTGGGGCTGGGCGGCTGCCCCTCACCTCTCTTCTTCTCCATCTTCCTGTCCACCTGGAACCCTTCGGATCGCTTCCGGGCTCGCTCCACCTTCATGGGCCTACAGAGAGCAACCCCCTCAGATGGACTGGCCATGTGCAGGCAGCCTGGCCACTGCCACACTCTCACTGAGGGCCAGTACCTGCGGGTGGACCCATGCCCACCATGCAGGAAAACCTTAGAAGCCTGGCGGCTGGGGCCCAGGAGGGGTCCAGGCTGGTCCCTTACCACCTGGGCCCAGGACAGAGGCTGGGGGAGCTGCAGGCCTCAGGTGACTCTGGCATCAGCCCTCCCTCTGGCCCTCACAAGCAAAAGTGTGACATCTAGAAATCCCTTCCTTTCTATGCAGGCACAGGGTTGGTGACGTGAAACCCAGAAAGCGAGTTCTGAGCAGGCGCTAGCGCTTGTTGGTGGGGCCAGACGTGTCGTCGAGGCCCAGACCCACGTGTTGCTCACTACTACGCCCACAGTCCCTGATGGGCAGGCTGCTTGCTGGGGCTGGAACCCCTTTGGAAAGGGTGGGAGAGGCCCCGCTCCACACCTCAGCGGGCTGTGGCGGTCTCTCACCTTGGCGTGTGGCATCAGGCCCAGGTCCTTCTCAGGGTGGGCAGCGTCGCTGGCCCTATGTGTCTGGAGCACCCTGAGCCCTGACACCCACACGTCCTCCCCAGAGACTGCCAAGTGTCCCAGGGGCAGGATCACCCAGTGAGATCCCTGGTCTGTGAGGACCCCAGCCACACTGCATAGGCCCCAGGGCCTGACACCTTCCCCTGGCTCCAGCTCTAGGCTGGGTTCAAATCAGACCCTATCCTGCGGCGGGGGCGGGAGCCCACCTGGCTCGCGGCTTCTCCTCGGGTCGCCCCCGCTTCTCCTTCTGGCCAGGCTTCCTCACGGGCTCGGTGCTTGGCAGCTGAGACTTCTTGGCCGACTTCTTTGCCTGTGGAGGCAGAGGGGGCTGGAATGGCGGGAGGAGAGGTCTGCCCACACCCAACCATCCACCGAGTGATGCAGCGGATGCTTCCTGTTGCGTCCTACTGCCCCTCTGTCCGGATGTGGAGGTGGGACAGGAGGGAAGGGGACCCGGTGTCCAGCCTGTGCCTAGCAGCAGCTTCTTGGGCCTGAGCAGACCGCAGGGATCTTGGAGCCAAGACCCTCGGCGCCAAGATCCTTGGAGCCAAGATCCTCGGCGCAGACGGACAGCCCTAGCTGGGGCCTGACTTCCCTGGGCCGGCACTCAGTCCCGAGGGCAGTCCTGTGCTGGGACTTCTGTCCTCTTCTGTGACAAGAGAGCACTGGGCGACAAGGGCGGCCTTGCTCTCCCCAGAGAAGGCGGGTGTGGCCTGGGTCACCACTGCGTGGACTCAGGTCCAACCAACGGTGCCACGAGGGTGGGAGCGTGACGGGTCCGTGGCCCTCACGGGCAGGGTGGCACCACCCCCGGAGGCCTCCTCACTACCTGCGCTCTCCCACAAGGCCAGAGGGTGCCGGTGAGCCCCTGAACCAAGCCCTCCCTCCTCTGCCCGCAAGGGCCAAAGCCCAGCGGTCCCCACGCCCACCAGAGCCGGCACGCCCTGCACGCCCTGCACGCCCCCGGCCCGCCTCCTCTCCGCCCTCC